TACCGAATAGTTTCTCTGGTGTGAAGAAGTATAATAGTACATAAGATCCTAATGAGATAACTGACAATGTGAAATAGGAAGAAAAGAGCTAAAGGTATTGGGAAAGAGGGAAGGGTAGGAGAAAGGTTATAAGGGAAAAGAAAAAAATGGGAAAAAATGAAAAGTTGGAAATAAAGTGTTTGTAAATGGGGAAGGGAGAAGGGGGTGAAGGGAGGGCAGGGACAAGGCGAGAAAATGAGAACCAAGTACTGTCATGTAAAGGTACAAGATCCCAATAATGAATGTAACTGTACTGTATACCTAAAATGTACCGATAAACTCAATAAAAAAATTAATAAAAGTATTGCAGAGACGGAGGAAAGGCTAAAAACATTATTAAACATTATTGTAGTATACAACTGATGAAATTAGCCTATAGATTTGAAACAAGGGAATCCTTCTTTGCACTCAGAAGATATAAATGCTATTATGCTTAAGTAAAACTTAGATTTCTCAAGATATAGCATTTTCATTATTTACTGTATTTTAGAATCCCATATATATTTTTTGCTTATAATTATGCTCTTATATAATACATTGCAGCATTACACTAAAATGTATTTTTATTAATAGAAGCTAATAATCCCTTAATCAAGGTCACTTGGGTTTCAAAATGTCCCTGATATACTTTGTTTTTGGTCCAAAGTGAGTTTACAGATGTTTATATTTTAATTAGAACTCACTGACCAACAGATCTTTAAGTGGCCTTGAGTGGCATCCTTATCTTAGCCCAAGTGTAAAGTAACAGAGAGCAAATTAACCCTGTAATTGTAGTTTAAGAACTATCTCAATGTACAAGAAATGCTTTAAGCATGCCAATTAGACAAAAATATTTATTTAAATTGGAATCTAAAAGTAATTTATCAGTCAGCCAAGGTATGCCCCAATGGGCTCTTATTAACTCTTTCAAGGAAGGCTTCTTCTCTCCCCTGGAACCCCTGGAAAGGAATTACCAATTTTACTACCTATTAGGACCCAGTGCAGGTTGTATGTCATTCTAGAGCCATTTTTTTAAAAACCCAATACAGTATCTAGCTTTGTAAATTGTCCTCATGGAACCTCAGAAATTAAAGTATTGTATAAAAGCACCAGTTTAGCTCATACTTAGGAGGCTAAAAGAGCAGGCTGGTAGTGGTAGAAGAAGAGTTTGATTGGCAGAAAGTACGTGGCTTAGGAAGGAGACAAAGGATTATGGGCTAAACTCTTAGAACTCAGAAGTACAGTGACCAGGGCAAAATATTTAGAACGCAGAAAAGATGATGTGACACAGACATTTTATATTTTCTTGTTGTTTTTTTTTTTCCCTGTACTGGGGATTGAACTCAGGACCTTGCACTTGCAAGGCAGGCAGAGGAACCACTGAGCTAAATCCCTGGCCCTCATTTTATCTTTTCTTGAAATACAAACATAAAATATAAACCTAGCAGATCTATGAAAATTGTCTTGAGTGCAGCAGAGCCCACAATGTCCTGTCCCATGACCAAGTTATCTTTTTATGGTTGTCTTTGAAGTGGTAGATGCCCAAATAATTTTTAACTAACTAACCAGTACCCAAGAGTGTAACAGGCAATTAGGATGAGACAAAATATGGGATCTTTGTGACCCCTTGGTTCAGCTTGTCAAGAAAGGGAGCCATGCTAGAGAAAAGATATTCATTTCCTCTAATTCCTGCAGTAAGTTTAAAAAGCAGTATGTCCAAGGACCCTGGCTGTGGAAAGACAAGAGCACTAAGGGCAGAGAAAGTTTCCTTGCCAGCAGAAAATCAAATTAGAAAGGAAAACTGAGGGAAGATTGGGTTGATATTTCTTTCCTCCATTTGTATGACAGTGGGATCACCTCACCCCACATCAGTAAAGCCTGTCCCCCAAGACTTCAAGATCAGCAGCTATGCTAATCACTTTTATTTGGTCAATGAGGTCCTGACATTGTTTTGAGCAGAAAGCTGTAAAGTGAAAGCAAAAAGTGTAGGAAAGTATAGACTTTACCTACCTCCTTCTGGAATCCTGAATGAGTCCCAAAACACGTTATCAGAATGCTGGGGTCAGGTTCCATGGTGTTAGGTAGGGTATTGGAGGAAGTATGGTACCTCCCCCTATGAACAGAGGAGGTAGGGTATAAGCAAATTTAAAAGACATAAAGGCAAGAAAGGAAAGTTCCTGCTAGTCAGGAGAGGATTCTTGTAAGATGCCCATAAAGGCTCTTTGTGTAAGAGCTTTAAGGTGATTAAGAGGGAGTTTTGGTGCCACTGTGTAAGCAATATAATCTCTACCCTATAGGATACTACATACTTTTTAGGGTATAATTTATGAAATGTTCATGCAGTGCCCATGCAGGGCCCGTGAACCCCTAAGTCAATGGCCTACCTGATCATGCTCTTTGGAGGTCCCAGACAACCAAAGGACACCTGACAGAAGTTTTTTAATAAGATCTCTAGAGGGTCAAGACTCAGCAGATTCCATTTTGGGCTTCCTTACTCCATTTTGGGCCTGCTTCATTTACCACTCTATTTTCCTTTCAAGAATCTACACACAGGGTTTTTGTCCTCTCTTCCTCTCCTCTTTCCTACTACCTGAAGTTCTATAGCTCCCTGTCCAATGTAATAATACTGTACCATGAGAGTCCACCAATTGGCCTCACAGAGATTCACCTACACACACCTTCAGGATCCCTTTGGGTCTACCTCAAATTTAACACATTAAACTTCTCAGGACATTTAAGGTTTATAATTTTGGTCAGAATTTTAGTTCCAAGTCAAATATGTATTTTTAAGAGCAAATAATATGAGTCTTAGTAAAATTTTTTTAAATCACATGGTATAATCAGTGTCTTCCTTATGAGTCTCAACAACAGAATGATCAGTGTCAGAACCCTCTTTAGTGTGAATATGAACACAGTTGTCAGTCTATAAATTAAGCAAATACCGTTGCCTATTTATATTTGAACAGTTCTCCGTGTATTTAGGCACACTTGGTAGTTTTTTATTTTAAATTCTGAAAACTTAGTTCTAAGAATGAAGTATTTTCTGGCTATGAGGATTCCAAACCATTACCAGAAAGTGAATTGAGCAATAGTTTTCATTTTATAATATCAAACTATGACTTTTTAATAAATTATCATCCAAAACATTTATTGGATAACTCATTCTGGAAACGTGTGCAAAATAAACAATAATTTATTTTCCACTTTGCTGTTTCAAATAAATTTTTATTGAGTTAAAGATGTAACTTTCAGGGTATAATGTAGTTAGCCAAATTCTGTAATCCTTTTTTTAAAAAATGTCATCCAGGGTGTGGTGCCTTTAGGGAACTTTTTAAAAGTTGCAGTTCATGGTGTGTGTTTTTTTCCTTCACTTTTTATAAAATGGTAAAATAATCTAATCTCTGCAGGGGAGTTCTGGTTCTTATTATAGGCTCTTGGCTTTTCCCACTACTAAAAGTCAGATTATTTCCTGCACTCAGTTTTACTTCTTAACATTTAATATAAACAGTATTTATATCCTTAACATTAAAAGCTCATTATTTGAAATGATTTCTTGATAAGCATTAATTTAATCTTTTTTTTTTTTGCTTAAAAGGTGAAATTAATTTAGAAGGAACAATACAAATAAGGCATCAAAATGAAGTTATATAGCCAATGGATGGTGATTGAAATTTTCAGTGAATTCCCTGGTTATTGAGATGCACCTAATAAAATAAAGGTTTAAAATTTTTTTCTGTAATTAAAGGCAACCTTTGATTCCACAACAAATTGTTCTTCCTTTTTCTTTTAAAAATTCTCCATAAATATGAACAGCACTATACAAAGAAATATATTTTGCTAATTGTTAGAAAAATTTCTAACCACAGAGAACCACTATATTCAGAATATAGGGGATCGTTAAGATTAAATAATCGGGGTTCTGTCCCAATTTCTTGACAGTCAATGACAATTCACTCACAAACTGTTGGCCTAAAAACGCCTATTATAAACGCCCATCTTCCTAGACTATCATCTTCCTAGTCATGCTCATATGTGAGTAAAAACAGAGTAATCTACTGAGATTGGTGTGTGTGTTTGTGTAAAAGAGTACGAGTAGGAGTTAAAATGATATAATTTCCCTTTTTACCAATTGGATCTGATGTTTAATGGAGCCAGTTAAAGGAGGAACCCCAGGGTCTCCAGCAACCAGCAAGCGCTAATTTTGTTTATTTATAAGCAACTAAAGGAAAAACAGCCCCCAGACAGACCACGGAAACATCCCAGAGAATCGTCTGCGCACTGGGGTCCGGCCCGTTCCGGTACCACTCCGCTGGGTTCCCC